TCTAGATCTAAAGTTTGAATTACATAAAATTTCAAAACCCAAAGAGCATGTGGGCAGCAATGCCCAACTTATTTCAAAAATTAAACCTTAATGTAAGATTTATCCTCAGAATGTCCCATGAGTGATGACAGCCTTAGCAGTTATCTCAGAGAGGAAAACAGTGAAGTAGGAAATGGACATCTAGGGCTGGGTGTGGAGTCCACAGAATAGTGCCAGCACCTGGTAGGCAGAGGCAGAAGGGCCAGAGAAGCTCAAAGTCAGCCAGCATCCTTATCTAGTCCTTACTTCAAGAAAAAAGTTAGTATCTAGCCAAGAATTGTTCATACGTGAATACATTGCACAGTCAATCAACATACAAGAGGACACTAAGAAAATGAACTATAAATCCACTTTTGGAGAAAAAAAATTATTTTAAAATTTTTGCCTCAAACAACTGAAAAACAATATAAGCTTAAGAGATCAAGAATGAAAAATCAACTTAAACATGTATTCAACATATAATTTGAAACTGGGTGAAATGTGAAACAATTAACAATACCTCCTAAAGATATAACACAAAGCACAATATAGAGGAAAATGCATTTGAATCCCATATTGTATTAAACTTCCCAGTTCTCTAAAGGGAGACCAGCATACACATGTGCAATTCACTCAGCAAAAGAGAAAAGCTAAGTAAGTGAAACCAACAGCCTTGGTGCCTCGAAGGCAGGTAATTAGGAAACTGGGAAAGAGGAGCAAGAAGGAAATTGTTACTGGGCTGGGGCAGAACTCAGTGGGTAGAGTGTTTTCCCTGTACCATACTACACAGCAAGTCTGAGGGTAGCTGGGATACGTGAGTCCTTGTGTCCACATGTGTAGCACAGGCACTGAAACCAACAAGTGAGAAATGGGCCCTCATGAAGCTAAAATGTTTCTGTACAGCAAAGGGCACCGTCAGTCCAGTGAGGAGGGAGCCTAAAGAATGGGAAAAAAGTCTTTAGTAGCTAGCTATACATCTAACAAAGGGTTAATGTTCAGCATACACCAAGATTTCAAAAAAACTAAACACTAATTGGGAGGTTTGTACCCAATTTAAAACTGGGGCATGAAATTAAAACAGAACTTTCAAAAGAAAAACCACAAATGGCTGAGAAATATTTTAAACATCCTTTACCATGAGAGGAATACAAATTTAAACTATTTTGAGATTTCATCTTACTCAAGTTACAATAACTAAGATTTAAAAAAAAAAAGACAACAAATACTGGCTTGGATGTAGGAAAGAGGAACACTTATTCACTGTTGGTGAGGGTGAAAACTGGTGTAGCCTTTGTAAAGTAAGTGTAGAGGTTCCTCAAAAAGCTAGAAATAAATCTACCATATGATCCAGCTGAATGACTCCCAAGACTATTCCCAAAGAACTCTATAGCCACAAAACAGAGAAAGCATAGATGTCCATCAACTGAAGAATGGATACTGGAAATGTGGTGCATTTACACAATGGATGGTTATTCATTTGTTAAAAAAATTATAAAATCTGCACATAAATGGATAGAGCTATAAATAATCATTCTGAGTGAGGTTACAGACCAGAAACACAAACATTGCATGTTCTTTCTCTTGTGTGGATGATAGCTGTGAACACTCAGATGTGCATGCTTAGATTAGAGTACCCCTAGAAGTCAGGAAACTAGTAAGCAGCCATGGGGGAGGATATCAAGGAAAAGAGGATAGAATGCAGGCAGTATGAAGGGGGAAGGGAAATGCTGAAACAGAAGGGTTGAATGTGGTGAAAGTGGAAAGGCAGAATGGAGAAGGGAGTACAGGAAGGATGAGAAACAAAAAAAAAGACCTTTGAAAATGCCATTGGAACCTATTACTGCAGGATACACACACACACACATACACACACACACACACACACACACACACACACACACACACACACACACACACATATACATTTTTTCTTATAAATATACAAGAGGTTTAGAGGAAGTTACCCTAAAACAGGGAACATTGCTTCCCCCAGATACCATAGACTCAAATAAAAAGTCCACTTCTAGAATAGGTTCTCTCTCTTTGAGTTGTCAGTGGAGTCCCATAGATCCCCAAACAGTGCAGGCTATTGTTATTACTCTAGGTTACCTTCCAGAACTTTACAGTAAGGCCACATTGCTGAAGATATTATATATCTGATTCATAGAACATGGCAAAATCAAGCTGGTACTGATCTGGAAGATCCATCCCTACTGGCTAGCTTTCATAGTGCTGGAAGGTTCGATGCACACTACAGGGGGAGAAAAAGAATCAACAGTCTTACCCAGCTTGAAGCCTGTGAGCTACTAATCCAGCTGTGATATGGAAAGACACTCTTACTGCTGTAAGAGTATCATGAATGCTACAGGAGCAACCAACCACTTTCTGACTGCATTTAAAGCCTGTTCCACAGAATGGAACCCATGCCTGGTACCTTTAACTGGGATTAAAAACCCATGGGTGGCTGTCATAAGTCCTAAAGAAGAACCTAGTGCTACCATTCTGCTAAATGGACATAGTAATAAACTGTCCCTAAGCAATTATCTCTGTGCTCATAGATTAATGCATTTGTCAACCCTCATCAGAGAAGCTTCTTTTTACAGTGCAGAGACTTACAACCAGTCAATGTACACAGAATAAGAAATGGGACATCTATATCACATCTCCTTCCCGCAAGGCTCGGGGGTTATCTTGGAAGAAGTCAAGGGCAGATTGTAGAACCAAAGGAAATGGATGTCTGCAGCAAAATGGTGTTTGCTGAACATGATAGTGTGGGATACCTGAACTCACAGCACCTGAACTCACGACCTGCAGAAGACCAAGCCAGCCAAAAATGGCAACATGGACTGGGGAGGAGCAAAGGAAGTTCCACCCCTAATTGAGGAGCTTCTGGCAATTGAGAGGGAGAGCCATTTTCTTCAGAGATTTGGCCCCTGAGAGGCTGCCCATGCTCCAGTAGATGGTCCCACACCCACGCACATACAGGGAGCACTAAATAGATATGGTGGGAGGGAAAAGCAGGGGGGCAGGAATTGGATGGATGGGATAAAGGGGTGAATTTGATCAAAATACAAAGGTGCATGTATGAAATTCTTCAATAATTAAAAAATGTTATATGCATGGGCAAAGATTATCTCAAGTAGACTGTGATGAAAATGTTAACCTCCACTCCAAATTTTAAAAAGTAAAAAGAGAGTTTTATGTCCTGTGTTCATTTGTAAATATATTATCTAAAGGTTCTACATTTAAAACTAAAAATGTTAAGCTCAAGAATCTGGTATATAAACAGGATAAAAAAAAGAATCTGGTACATATGCAACAAGTCTAACCTATGATGAAGCAGATGTCATAAATCATATCAAATAAATTCAGCAATGCTGAAGCTTTCTATATGGAAAATAGGTAATGATTTAGATTATCAAGCTAAAGTGGACCCTTGCCTGACCCATGAGCACCATTCTACAAGTCACAGATTTTCAGCATTAGGTAAGATGGCATGATCTGGAAAATACTGTGGGTCACATGACACAGCCTAGACATGCCCCAATTCAGACCCCACTGTGGTGATACAGTGTGTACCCTAATAAACTTGTCTGAGGATCAGAGGACAAAACCAGCCACTAGATTAGACATAGAGGTCAGGCAGTGGTGGCACACACCTTTAATCCTATCACTTGGGAGGCAGAGATCCATCTGGATCTCTGTGAGTTCAAAACCACACTGGGCTACATGAGATTGATCCAGTATAGGACAGAAACAGAGTCAGGCAGTGGTAGCACACACTTTAATCCTAGTACTTGAGATCTCATGCCTTTGCTTGGGAAGCACTCATGCCTTTAATCCCAGGAAGTAATATGGCAGGGCAGAGGGAGGCATATAAGGCGTGAGGAAACAGGAACTCACTCTCTTCAGGCTGAGGATTTTGTAGAGGTAAGAACTAGTGGCTGGCTGTTCCGCTTCTCTAATCTTTCAGCTTTCATCCTGGGTTTTTATTTTTATTTTTTTTATTAAAAGACCATTTAAGATTCAGACAATACCCTACCACTTATTCATTCATCCAATCATCTCTTTGGGAACCTAATACAACCATATTGATAACAGGAAAATGATCTGGTGATCAAAATATCCACCAATGTGAGAGTCAGGCAGATTCTGATGTACTCAGACAATTAAAAAAATGCTAACATTTTAAATTATATTTCTAAAATGTGTAGCCACCTGAAGTATTGTTCAATGTACACTATTAACAAGAAAAGCAAATGGCACTGTTGCCCACCATAATGACAATTTAGTACCTCTTGATACACATGGGCCTTAAGTACTGGGGGTGATGCAACATGTAAGCAGTCATTCTTTACAAATTATTTCATCCTGGTTTCTAACTTTTTATATATTTTCAAGTTTCTCTGTTAAGTATGTGGAAGGGGACACCATATTTCACAATAAGAAATGGCACTTTTTCTTGGCATCAGCATGCTGAAGAAATTAAATGGACAGTGGTGACTGAACAAGCAAGTACCTCACAAAAGACCTGGGCGACGTGTTGGCTCTCACCACCATCTTCCTAGCGCACCTTGGGCTCAGGTTTCCAAGCCCAGCAAGCTGGCCAGCCTGAGTACTACCTCTCAGAAAAACAGACAACCACATATGGATACCATATCCAAACCACACATAGCTCAACTCTAATGTGTTTCCATGACATACTTGCCTATCCAGGAAGTCTTTAACCAAGACCACCCACTTTTGTTCCACAAACCATCAGGTAAGAGTCACTCTGGAATCATCTATGAATTGGTAACTTTGTTGTGGAGAGTCTGGAACCCCATACCCAGACTCCCAAGTACCCCTCCCCAGTCCTGTGCGTCTTCTGGCAGGGTTTTTGTTCCAACCTCACCAGCAAAGCAGCTCCTCAGCACAGCTGATGGGCCTCTGGGTCCAGTGTGTGCATCACACCCCAATAAGAAAGAACACACATACAGTACCTTCTTGAAGCGGTGTGGGCTTGGCAGAATTTTCCCCACTCATTAAAACAACAAAAGATGCAGCTGCTCGAACTGTAGCCTGCCATGTTGACATGGCAACGGGTGGTTCCTGGCATGGAAAAAGGGCCCTGTTGTTGATGGGGGATCCCATAGTATAAACACACGGCCTGCAGAAGAAAGACAAAGACAGAGAAGGGAAGAATCTTTAAAATGAGTTGTCATTGATCTCGCCACCATGGCAGGAAGGTCATGTTGAGCTTTCCAAGTAGAAACATTTGAGGCTTTGTAGCTGACTCACACTGAACTGAACATGCCAAGGGCCTGCTATGTCAATAGCTCAGTGGTTATTCCTCCCAAAGGAATCAAATGTGTGAAAAGGTATGTGTGTCAGGGGTAGTGTGGTGTGTATGTGTGTGTGTGTGTGTGTGTGTGTGTGTGTGTGTGTGTGTGTGTGTGTTAAGAGAAAAAAATCTGGATAAGGTTTTAAATACTATTCTGCGAAGTTATAATTTATGCTCCCCTTAGGCCTTTCTGCCTTCAAAGGAAAAAAGTTTCAGTGACATTCTTACAGACTTTTTGGAAAGTATTTTGGAAAAGAAAACATGGCTGGAGATCTCTGTGATTATTAATCTTGGAAAAACAAGTGGTGGTCTCAAAGCCAGTGTTGGCAGGCAGACCCTCCTGGTACTGGAAAATGCCTTCTCAGATGGAGCCCTTGTGGGGATCTTTGTGTGGAAGCCAAGAACAAGGCTTGGCACAAACAGAATGGTAGAGGTCACAGCAACCAGGCTTGGAAGACCATAAGAACAAGCACATTACCAAAGCAAGGTATGAAACCAACAGCATGAGTTATGACTCGGTCTCTCCAAGTATAAACCCTCCCAAACCAAGCAGAAACTCTTTCTATAATTAAGTCATAGTTAACAGAGATGGTAAAGACCTGCAAAATCAGAGTATTCCATTCTTATGCCACAGAGAAGGCACACCACTGACTCCCCAGGAAAACAATTTAGGGAAAGAATGGCACTCTGTTTTTTTGTTTTGTTTTGAGTTATGACAAATGTCAGTTAAGCAGCTTGACTTTCAATGTAAATGAACCAGCTACTAGTTGTTTCAGATAAACAGTTTTCATTGACATCATTATGATTGAACATTAGTCTGTCTGTACGATATATGAAAGAACACACAAGAGGATGGTTTTCCTCTATCATCAAGGCCCAGTAAAGAGAAGGCAAGGTAGGGTCTAGAAAGCAAAGATAATTTAATACAGAGAACTGTAACACGAATGATAGAGTGGAGAAACCAAGCAGGGGAGAGCGAGGCAAGCAGGAGCTGTGTTCATAGAACAGGCAAAGAAAAACCAGCCATCTAACCCCAACATGCTTGCTATTCACGTTAGAGAGCATTGTAACAGAGAATCTGCAGGAAACAGCTCAGATCCATGTAGTCATTCTCTGCTGACTGCCATGCAGAATGGTCTTTTCAGGAGAGAAGGGGACAATTTCTGGTTTGGAAGGTTCCAAGCTTGCCTCTTCCCATCAAATCAATCGTTGTTAGAGGCTTTGATCAGCAATCAGCAACTAGAGAGCTGACTATAGGAGAAGTGGGGTTGTGTGGCTTAATGGGGCCTTTCTAAAATGAGGCAAATGGCCAGACTAGGAGTCACAAACACAGGAGTTCAGCCAGAACTATCTAGAAGCTTCCAAGGGTTACAAAGTATCCAGGCTTCCAATTTATTTCCATTTACTATCGTATCTGATACTTTCACAGCCTCGAGTTTCAGCACAGCTGGATACAATCTCCACCACCACCTATGGTGGGCAAACCTCTCGCTTTCTTTTGCCACACGGCGAAATCCAACATTTCTAGTAGAGGGAGTTCCATCAGCGATGGCCTCCTCTGCCCTCCTCTTTAATTCCATTTCATGGTACCATTACCTGTAGATGTAACCAACCGTCTTATTAAAATAAGAAACACAGAACCAATGTAAAAGAGAAAGCCGAGAGGTCAGAGCTCAGAGCTAAAATCTTACCTCCTGCAGTGCTCCTAGCTTCCCTGAAAGAGAGCTACTTCCTGTGTGTCTGTCTTTAAATAGTCTTTCTGTTCTGCCTTCTCATTGGTTGTAAACCCAACCACATGACTGCCTTGTCAATGCCTGTAAGTACCGCCCTCCAAGTCTTAAAGGCGTATGTCTCCAATGCTGGCTGTATCCCTGAACACACAGAGATCTACCTAGCTCTTCTAACCACCACGCTCTTGCTATGGCTCTAATAGCTCTGACCTCAGGGCAACTTTCTTTATTAACATACAATTAAAATCACATTTCAGTACAAATAAAATACCACCATAATTACCCAACCCAGAACTGATCAGTATCATCTAGATAGCAAGTCTAAAGACACTGTTGCTTTGAATTGGACAGGACTTACTCAAGAGAGGTATTTTTCATGTAGAATAGGCAAGCTTCCTGCAAGGGCAAAGGCAAGCGTTGGTCTTTGGAAGCCCCTCTTGGGGTGAGGTGGGAATGTGGAGATCCTTGCATGGAATCTTCTCCCCTTACACATAAAGAACGAGGGTCTGGTTGCAAACGACGTGGCTGCAGTTGCTTGACTTGTGGGCAGCATAGCTGCAGCCAGCACTCTCCAGTGTCTGGGCTCTGGCCTTCCGATTTTACAGTGTACTACACTAATCCTTGGTTTACAGGCCACTGCTACTTGTTATTTTCTGTTGATACTTGATTCCTTTAGGTCGAGCTTGGGGAATCCTGCTGAAGAGATTGTAGGAGCCAGAAGGGTCAAGGACATCACAAGAAAACCCACAGAATCAACTAACCTGGGCTTACAGGAGCTCACAGAGTCTGAACTGAAAACTAGGGAGCCTGCATGGGACTGACCTAGGCCCTCTATATTTATATGTGACAGTTGTGTAGCTTGGTCTACTTGTGGGACTCCTAACAGTGGGAGCAGGGACTGTCCCTAACACTTTGGATGACTCTTGGGACCCTATTCCTCATACTGGGTTGCCTTGCCCAGCCTTAATACAAGGGGAGGTGTTTAGTCCTACAGCAACTTGATATGCCATGTTTTGTTGACCCATGGGAGGCCTGCCTCTTTCTGAACAGAAACTGTGGAGTGGATTGGGGGTAGGGGCAAAGGGGAGGCGAGGGAAGGGAATGGGAAGAGAAGAGGGAGAAGAAACTGTGGTCAGAATATAAAATAAATAAATAAATTTAATTAATAAAAAGATAGTTTTAGCTAGGTGTGGTGGTGCATGCCTTCAATCCAAGCATTTTAGAGGCCAACCTGGTCTACCAGGACAGACAGTGCTACGTAGAGAGACCCTGTCTCAAAAACAAAGGTTTTCTGTTTGTTTGTTTTTTAATTTTGTGGTCTTTTGAAACAGGATTACTTCCCTGTGACTCAGGATGGCCTTGAATTTACAGAGACCTGCCTGTCCCTTCCTTCCCTGTGCTGGGATTGAAAGATGTGTGTCACCACACTGACTCATATTTCTTTTAAAAAGCAAAGGACATTATCAACTTAAGGAAGAGGGAGGCCAGAGATGGAAAAAATATTTATCAGCTATACATCTGACAGAGAGTGCCTATAACATACAAAAAAAAACTAAAAACAAACAAAACGCGGCTGAGAAATAAATATTTAATATCCTTAGCCATAAGAGAAATAAAATTTAAACTACTTTGAGATTTAATCTTACCCAAGTCAGAATGACAAAAGAAAAAAGAAAAGAGAGGAAGAAAGAAAGAAAGAAAAAGTCAACAAATGCTTGTGTGAGTATGGGAAAGGGAACATTTATTCATTGCTGGTAGGAGTGTAAACAGAATGGAGGTTCCTCAAAGAGCCAGAAATATATCCACCATATGATCCAGCTATAGTGCTCCTGGGCATATTCCCAAAGGACTCTACATCCTACAACAGAGACACCTGCTCATCCCCATTCATTGCTACTCTAGTCACAATAGCCAAGAAACACAACCTAGAAGACCAGCCATGGATGAGTAGATAATCAAAATGTGGTTCACATATAGAAAATGGAATGTTATTTAACTGTAATAATATAATGAGATTTGCAGGTAAATGGATGGTGCTGGCAATAGTCTTTAAAAGGTAACCCAGACCCAGAAAGACAATATCTATGTGTTATCTTATATGTAGATTTGAATCTTATGTGTGTTTAAACTGGAACACTCATAGAGGTCAGGGAGCTATTAAGTGTCCCTGGGGAGGAGTGGTTTCAAGGAAAAGAAGACAGAATGCAAGTGGTATGAGGGAGGAAAGAGAAATGGAACAGGAAGGGTTAAATGGTATGAGGATGGGGGGACAGGGGACAGGGGTATGGAGTGGGATAACTTATACTAAAGGCCCTATTGCTGAAGATGCCACATACTTGGGTCACAGGACAAGAGAAATCAAGCTAGAATCACTTGGAAACTTCATCCCTGCTGGCTAGCTTTCTCAGTGCTGGAAGGTTCCGTGTACACTACTGGGAAAGAAAAAGAATCAACACACATCCACAGTTATGAATCCTGTGAGCAACAATGACTAGCCTGGAACAATATGCCCACCGGTGTGATAGTATCGTGAATGTTATACGAGAAATCAACCACTTTCTGACTGAACTTAAAGGCTGTTCCACAAAATAGAATCCATTCCTGGTTCTGTTAACAGGGCCAAAAACCCATTGCTGGATGTCAGAGGCTGTAGAGGAGAAACTAGTACTGTAATTCTCCTAAATTAACATATCAATAAACTACCCCTAAACTCTTATCTCTGTTATATCCACAGAGCACCTCTCAACCTTCAATGGAGAAGCTTCTTTCTAAAGGAGGTGGAAACTAACACAGAGACTTACAACCAGTCATTGTGTCGAGAATAATAAACTTTGGGGTGCTCAGCTCTAAACAAGACATCTATGTCACATCCCCTGAGCTCAGGGGTCATGACAGAAAGAGGGAGCAAAAAAAGTCAAGAGACAGTGGATATCTGCAGTGAAACAGGGCTACTGTACACATCAACTCATAGTGGCTGTGGCTGAATATACAAGATCTGTACAGAGAGATTGTAAGAGCCAGACATATGTGGATGACTCCAAGGAAACAGTGTCATCCAGATACAACAGATACACATATGAACTCACAGAGACTGTG